AATATTTTTAAAAAATGAATCTTTAAAAAAAAAAAGAGTGGGTCATTATAAAGTAAGTCCAGCCCATGTGCTTGGCTTTTTGAACTCAGATGTTTCCCTGTCTACTTTTCTCTTACCCTTCATAGTAGGAGAGTCATGGCACACCACAGGCATACGGTGGGTCCTGAAGGGGAGTGGGGCGCCTCCATTTCACCACTCTTATATCTGTCACATTCTGACACAGCTAATGGCAGTCCTTATTGGAGGCTAGACAGAGGGAGTTACTACCTGGGACTGTCAGCCTTCAAAATCAAGCTAAGAGAACCTGTTTTGTATCCAGGCATGGTGGCACATGCTTGTAATCCTAGCACTTGGGAGACTGAAGAAGGAAAATTTCAGCAACTTTGAGGTCAGCCTGGGTTGCATAGTGAGACCCTATCTCAAAACAAAAGCACCCACAAACCTTCTTTTTTCTTTTCAGTTTTAAAGTGTTTTCAAAATATTTATTTATTGGGACTGGAGAGATGGCTCAGCACTTAAGAGCACTGGCTGTTCTTGCAGAGGACCCAGGTTCGAATCCCAGCACCCACATGGCACCTAACAACTGTCTGTAACTCCAGTTCCAGGGACTCCAAGAGCCTCTTCTGACCTCCTTGGGCATTGCATGATGTGGGTGCGCTTACCTACATGCAGGCAATACATGCATACTCATAAACTAAAAATAATAAATTAAAAACATTTAAAAAAATTATTGTGTGTACACTGCATATATGTGGAGGTCAGAGGACAACTTTCAAGAGTCCTGATCTCTCCTATCATCATTCAAGTGAGACCCAAAGATCAAATTCAGGTATTCAGGCTCAACAGCAAGCTCCTTTACCCACTGAGTCAGTTCATTGGTCCCTCTTTTCTTTATACAAACTCAGCTTCAGGTATTTCCTTACAGCAAGAGAAAACTGGGAATAACATCACATAAGTAAGTGTCTAAAACCAATCTGCATTTTCAGAATAAAAAATGTATTCACAAGATGTAGTGGCACACTCCTTTAATCCCAGCAATTGGGAGGCAGAGGCAGGTGGATCTCTGTGAGGCCAGCCTGGTCTACATAGCAAGTTCCAGGCCGGCCAGGGCTACACAGAGAAGAGATCCTATCTAAAATAAATAAATAAATAAATAAATAAATAAATAAATAAATAAATAAATAAGCACAACAGCAGGGTGAGACTCTTGACTCAGATGTACACGACTGAGCTTTTCCAAACTCAATTCCCTCAGATTTCTTCATGGGATACCATAACAAGAGACTTCATAAGTGGAGTGGCCCATAGGAAAACATTTCTCACATACAGAACCTCTAAAGTGTTTGATGTAAGAAAGAAAGAAAGAAAAAGCCAAAAACAAACAAGTAAAATGTGCTCAAAATTTCACAGTTAAATGTAATCTTAGTTATTAGATGTTCTCCCCCAAAGCACCCATCCTGATGACCCGAATTTCATCCCTAGAACACATATGGTTGAAAGTGGGAACAAATTCCCAAAAGTAAGTGTAGTAAGCACCAGCAAGATGGCTCAGTGGGTAAATGCGCCTGCTGTCAAGTCTAGGAACCTCAGTTTGATCCCTAGGACCTACATGGTAGAAGGAGAGAAATGAGTCCCACGTGTTCTCTGACACACACACACACACACACACACACACACACACACTAAATAAATATTTTAAAAATTAAAATTAAAAGAATATTTTTCAGCCGGGCGTGGTGGTGCGTGCCTTTAGTCCCAGCATTTAGGAGGCAGAGGCAGGCAGATCTCTGTGAGTTCAAGGCCAGCCTGGTCTACATAGTGAGTTCCAGGGCAGCTGGGGCTACAGGGAGACCCTGTCTCAAAAAGACAAAAAGGAAAAAAAAAAAGAATATTTTTCTTCATGAGTATTATCAGGTTAAAATTATTTTGCTCAGGGCTGGAATGATGGCTCAGCAGTTAAGAGCCAGCACTGTTCTTCCAGAGGACCTTCATTTAGTTCCCAGCACCCATGCCTGTAACTTCAGCTCCAGGGAATCCAACACCTCTGGCTTCTGAGGGCACCTGTACTCACATGCAGATATACACACAAGGACACACATACACATGAATAAAAATCTTTAAAAAAATCTGTTTTTAAAAATTTTTGGGTTTTTTGAGACACAGTCTCCCTGTAGCTGTCCTGGAACTTGCTATATATAGACAGGCTGGCCTCACAGAGATCCCCAGCCTCTGCCTCCCAAGTGCTGGGATGAAAGGTGTGTGCCACCATGCCCAGCTAAAATAAATCTTTTAAAAA